GCCCCGCCAGGCGGCCGCCCCTCTCCCCCGCCGTAGGCCGGGATCGGGGGCGGGGGCGCTGCGGCCCTGAAGGTGTTGTACACGGTGCGGCCGCGGCCTCGGAGGTGCGCCCCTCGGTAGGCGGCCGCAGCAGTGGCGGCTGGATACGGGAAGCCGGGCACTGCAGGGCGAGAGGAGAGAGCACAGCAAAGGCCATTAGACCATACCCTGCCGTGGAGGGAACTGCCCCCAGACCCTTGTACTGGCAAGGCCAAGGCAGACTTCCCCTGAAGGTGTTGTACACGGTGCGGCCGCGGCCTCGGAGGTGCGCCCCTCGGTAGGCGGCCGCAGCAGTGGCGGCTGGATACGGGAAGCCGGGCACTGCAGGGCGAGAGGAGAGAGCACAGCAAAGGCCATTAGACCATACCCTGCCGTGGAGGGAACTGCCCCCAGACCCTTGTACTGGCAAGGCCAAGGCAGACTTCCCCGCCCTGTCCAGGAGTCAGGAGGCAAAGGTGCACAGCGGCGCAGAGACCAAGGTCGGAATCCGTGGAGCCTGAGTTAGGTAAGGCGGTGGGCTCTCCGCCCAGGAGATGACCGTGATAAATGACTCACTCTTCAAAACGGTAGACTGCAAAATGTATGTGCAATGTCTTCTCGACCACTATATAGAGATAAGTAGGTACACATACATGTGTCTCTGAACCGTGCACATATGTGCACATGCATGTGAATGTGTTTGTTCGTGTATGTAAATATACAAGGGGAATTCAAAAAAGTTAATGGGAAAATGGAATGAAAGGATGACTTTATTGTGGTGTAAAGAAATGATGAAGCCCATGCTGTTTTTTCATAATATACCTTTCTATGAGCTTTTGGAAGACACCTCCCTCGTCATGTATGTATGCACATACACATATCTCTACCTTTGTGCATATGCATGTATGTGCATATTTGTGTATACACGTACACATGTATTTCCACATGCTAGTCATTATCTCTGGTGCTAAACTGCATGAATGTTATCTGAAGTCATAGATTTTCCCCCATCCCATTTTAAATTTATTCTCCACATTTCCTCATAAGGACATAACATTATTTGCTAAAACCTTTTAGTCGGAGTACTGCTAAGCCACATGTATCTGTCATGCATGCGTAAACCATACGTGTCCTGAGATATAATCATTACTATCATCTCAAAAGCTCCTTAACCTCCTTTGCAGCTTTAAAAAGCAAACATCACCATCGTAATTACAAACAGACGCCTGGGAACTCAGCTCATTTTTTTCCCTGGAGGATAATTCTCACAGCAAGGCCATGTGGTGAAGATCCAAAAGGAGGGTGAAGCCTGGTCATTCCTGAGCCCCTGGTAATGAGTTCTGCTGTCCCCACCTGGGACATCCTTCTGCCCATCGCTCACAAACCCTCATTCCTCAGGGCCAGTGGAGCCCCAAGCAAACTCTGCCTGCAAGTGCCTCAGGTCCTCGAGACCCCACAGTGCCCTCGCTGTGTCCACAATGGGTGCAAGCCTCTGTGCCAGGCAGCAGGTGGTGTTCTCAAACTGCAACTCATGGAGGGTACTTCTCTGAGAAAATCTATCTGGGAAGCAGCTGTCCCGGGAGAGCCCTAGGAAAGCAGGAAGGGCCTGCAGGAAAATGGCACTTGGATTTAAGGGCCCCAGCACACCCCCAAGTTTCCTTTTCTCAGTCCCTGCAGGCACCTGACCTCTTCCGAGGTGGGGAAGTTCATGTCGTGTTCCAGTCCTCTCTGCCACACACTAGCCTGTCTTCCCTCTGCACCCCGAGCCTTTGCATTCACACAAATGCACAGACCCAGGAATAAACACGCAAAAAGAGGAGGTTGAAGGGGGTAGGGGCATTCTAGAGCCCCAGGGAAGTCCCTGGCTGCTACCCAGGAGGTTGCAGACGTGGCCATGTAGTGACCGTGGAAGTCCCAGAGGACATTTTACCTCTATGATGGGTGGCTTCCCACAGAAGCCGTCTCAACTCCATACCTCTGCATGGAATTCTAGGTGCTGGGATTAAAACCCTGGAACCCAAGGTGAAGACTAACTGGCTAGTGTTTTCTGGCATTCTGTGCACTCCTGAATGGTAAACAGCCACCCTGCTTTATGAATCCGACATCCTCCTCGCACACTGTGGTAAAACACTGGGATAGCTGAACCATTGCCAGAGTGATTCTACCTTCCTGTGTGTATCTGAGACCATAAAGGTTATTTTTAACTTTTTTATTGTTGAAGACAAATTGCACAGTTTTATTTAACTCTCTTACCAGCCCCTAGCACCTGAGTTTCCTGGATCATGTTTCAACTAACATGCTTGAAATTGCAGAGAGGTTTGAGTCTTAATGGGGAGAGCAGGTAAATCCTAATATCGTAAACACCCAGAAGTAATGAGATCCAAGGCACTTGCTTCAGGACTGAAGAGAAAAATGAGTGGGAATGGCTTGGCCTCCAAATCTACCTTGCCACCGTTCAAATATTGAGTTTTCATAGGAACACCCTAGATTTTGAAATGAAGAAAATGAAAAACTCACAATCTGGCAGAGCAGCTGGCTGCCTGTGTGGGGAAACACGGTAATTATGCTGACCCATTCATTATCAGCGGCTCCCGTGCGAGTGAGAGAGACAAGATCCCTCTCAGCGACAAGCAGGTTTTACAATAATTCTTGGAGGATTTAGATGTTGAGATAGAACATGAAACAGAAGCTCGGCAATGGAGCGAGGGGAGCACACGCTGCTAGGTGTGGAGACAGGATTTCAGTTTGGACCCTCTTTGTTGCAGGGAACAATGTCTTTCTGAAGCAGGAGAAAGTATTTACAGGTCTTAATAGTCTTAATGTGAGGCTCTTTGGGATCCTGCAAAGAGAGTGCACTAGAGGAATTCTTTTTTTTAAGGTTTTGCCATGGGGCACGCGCGCTCATCAGAGAGAGACAGTGAGAGGGAAAGCGAGAAATCACCCACTAGGGAGGATGACCACGCCACACAATCCCTTCTCTTCTGTGGTCCTCCTGGAGTTTGGGAAACTCACGCACACACGTCCGGCATGATTTTCAAGCTGCCAGGTCCAAAACTTGAACTGCGATTAGTCACATGGGAGTCCAGTGCCTTAACCACTACATCCTGGAATTCTTATTTTCTTAAACACAGAAAGGAATGCAATCAACTCCTGGCTTAATAGTGCCTGCCTGGAAGGCCAAGAACCCTTAAGCAAGTCAAGGGGGTTCTATAGATCATGCTTTGGGTCAGAGGCTTCATGGAGCCTCAAGGTATCCAGGAGGATGGTGTGTTTAGCTGTCTCTTGTCATTAATTTTGGGATGGTCAAGGATCTCCTCAGGAAGACTCCAGTTAGTCATTATGGCCACTGAGCATTTCTTTCCTCTTTCCCCTCTTACTTCCCTTCCTTTCTTCAGATCCTTGCTCCTCCCTCTCTCCTTCTTTTCCCTTCTTCTCTTCACTTTCCTCCCTCCCTCTTTTCCTGCTTCGCATTCATTTCTCCCCTCCTTCCTTCCATTTTCATCCTTTTTTTCTCTCCTTCTATCTCTTCTCCCCTCCCTTCATTCATTCCTTCATTCATTTTCATCCTTCCTTTCCATCTTTTTTCCAAATTTCCTTCTGAAAGCTGCTGTGACCATCTCCCAAAGTCAAATAGCTGGGACCACAGAAGTGAAGGACTCTCGCTAGTGTTAGAACACAAGCTCCACTGAGGGCAGAAGCTCATTGATCCTAGATGAGTGCTGGGTACTCAGATGCTATCAGGCACCTATGCTGTCCTGGACAGCAGGAGTTGACCACTGTCCACTCTCCTCTGTGGGAAAGAGCAGAGTCCTCTCTTCTTCACTGTCTACCTTCTAGAACACTGTCCTGTGCACAGTGGCCTGCCCAGAGTGTGAAGATCAACAGTACACAAGCAAGTCCATTGGAACTCAGTCCCAATCCTTAGAAAGATCATTTCCACTTCCATCCTTACTTATAGGTGTTATGATGGCTCAGAAAAGGCAACCAGACCCAGAATATGTGTGATTCCAAAGGAAGAGACGACTTGGACAGATGAATTATACCTAGGCTTATCAGAGCTCTCAATCCATTTCAATTCACTTTTGCTAAAGCACAGTGCCAGGATTTGGAACTGTTTCTCATTCTGAGAAAAGCAGGACTCCAACTTTTTTTCCAGATAAGCAATACCTATTAAGGCATCCAGCCACATCCTTCCTCCATACAGCTGCAGACAACACTGATGACTCGGTTATAATAGCCCTTGAACACAGTAAATGTGTACAATAAGGAACAACAGGAGATGATAATATTTATAAACTCAAACTCATCAGATTGGTGGCTGGCCTTACATCTTTCTCTTCCTCCCCACTGGAGGATTTCCCCCATCCTGTGGCTATTTAGGGCAATATAATCCTCTTTTCACCTCATTAAGAAATGTGTCAATTTAAAGGGAAAAAACCCTACAACTGTTCATCAGACTACCTTTAGACTCAACATGGAATGGAAGAAACAAGTATTTCCTTACTTGTCTATCAGGCATGGGTGCTGATAGACGTTAGAACATGGTTAAATATATATTTGAAGCAAATACCTGGATAGATGATTGAGATACAGATTAAATAAGACCAAAATGTTTCTTATCTTTTGACCATATGGGAAAAGGCACCTTAATTATATGCTTACTTTGCAGCATGACCCTTATCTTTTGTTAAGTTGAGGTCATTTATCAATACCCCAGTTAAGGAGCTTAGGTTCAGTAAGTGGGTAATAAATGTTTAATAAATCCAATACGATATGCCAAATGGAACCTCACAATGTTCTTTTTTATTTCTGCAATGGAATAAATCAATGTTAAAATAGAAGTCGTAAACCTGGCACCTTGTCCAATATTTGTAAATGCCTCTTGGCTAATTAAAGGACGTTAGAAAAATAAGAAATCAAATTATGGGCATTTCTGAACTTCAACACTGGAGTTTTATTTTTTTTCTAGTTGAACTTCAGGTTCATAGACACGTAAACTGACCATCAGTGAGGAACAATGGGAAGTACTTAGGCTGATTTGTGGTAGAGTATAAATCCATAGTTCTTGGCATGAAGGAGACAAAGGAGGGAAAACCCATAGGCTTATTATACTGGAAAGGTTCCCTCTTAAACCTTATCCAG